CTCGAGCTCGTCCTCATTGGCCTTTAGCGCTACCTCAAGCACGCTACATCTACTGATGGCCCTCATAAGTTCCTCTTCCCTCTCCCTCAGCTCTTCATCCTTCTTCGCCAGCTCATCGTCCTTCTGTTTGAGCCTGTCACGGAGCGACTGAAACTGGCCATCCTGGCTGAGAAAGTCGGCCAGCGTTCGGTGCTTGGTACGGTACTATTTGTACTTAGAGGTCATCTTCTAAAAAATGGTCGTCCTCCGCTCCTCCCACCGGTCGCGCTCAATCCCCATAATAAGAGTCTGACATACAAAAAAAAAAGGAGAGAAGAGGTCAGTGTAAGCAAATTAGACATACGAAACAAACTTAACCTAACATGGAAAGGCAAACTCACTCGCAGGGCCATACCAGATATACCCAACGACAGATCCGCATCTTTCAGCATCAGTAGCGTCGTATTCTCGGAAGCAGCGCACAAGGGAGCAAAGGCCAGCACCACACGTTCTGAGTTGGCCAAGAGGTCGTAGTCCAAAGGAATGACTATATGCTGATTAGGACCCTGCGTCCTTATCTCCACACGAGTAGTCCTCTCCACGAAGATCCGTATCTCCTCAGGGTCGATGTCCGAACCAGAGTTATCATCCCCCGCAGGGACAGATCTACCTCTCCCAGCCGCAGATGACGAGCCACCTTCAGTAGCCCGCATAAGCTCTCTGCCACCGTGATCCCCTTCAACCTCAGTGGACCTCCTCTCCATGGTGGCACCCGTCGCAGAAACACCCTTGACGTCTGGTGTAAGCACCAATTCCGCTCCCAAAGCAATGAGTCTTTCCGGCTCAACATCAGCGACAATGGCTCTCCCGGTCTCCACCCTTCGTCTTTTCCTTGGCGATGCCTCCTCGCCGTGAGGCGACTCGTCCATAAGATGAAAGATAGGCCGAGAAGAGATCTCATCCGGCACGGCAATAGTTTGAGGGGCAGAGTCCCTCATTGGCGCAACTCGGGTCTGACCTCCTCGAGCGGACTCAGCTAAAGAAAACTGCATTCCAGCTGATGCGACAGCCTGGCGAAATGCAGGCACTGGAGCCTTCGCCTTTTTGGAAACTCGCCGACCTGGTACCAAAGGAAGGTCGCCGTCAAAAGGCAATAGTGAACGACAATAAGTTAAGGTAGAAACAACACTTATCGAACAGAGTCTTGGGTCCGAAGCACTTGTCAAAAGACACCCAGTCGTGAATTCCCACGGTGTGGGGTAACATGCGAGCCACCCAATCTTCAATATTGAAGACAGGAGAAGGTGCACGCCTCTCAGCTGGAAACAAGGAATCCATGAGAGTCAAAAATAAAAGAAGAGGAAGAATAACGAACATACGGCAAGATACTTACGATTATAGTTCCATTGCTCAGGAAACCCGGTCGGGTTCGCCATCAGGTGCTCGGTTTTGATAAAGAAGTATTTATGCCAAAACCGCCGGTTCGCCTTATCATCCATCCCGGCCACCAACCGTTTGATCCCACGATGTCGCAGATGTATCAACGTGCCTCTATGAAAGCTGGGCGAGAATAGATGCAGCAGATAGTAGATATTGATGCCAACTCTGCATACTTCGCCAGCATCAGAAAAACTTTGTATAAATAAGAGGAGAGCTGCACCGGGCAGACGTTGTAAAAGCGGCAAAACTCCTCCGCTAATGGGGGGTGAGGAGGAGAATAACCAACTAAAAACGGGTAAACATAGAAAGCACAATATCCATGCCGGTGAACCTGTACTATATCATCTTCCGCCAGAATAATCTCGACGTGAGAAGGAATATGGTATTTGGATGCCCCATTTCAGAAAGCTCTTAAGTTGGAGCGGGAGCAGGTTCCTTTGGGAAGTCATTTCTGACCAAAGGATTCTTGGGAACCACCTCTTCCACGGTGGGGAAACTTTCTTCCTCCTCAACCATGGATTCCTCACCACCGGGAGGAACGGCCACCGATAAAGGAGTGGCATCGGTTACTCCGTTGTGGATATTAGGGGAATTTGACATGTTTCCGTAGTAAAGTGTGTACAGCAAAGTCGGAGAAAAAAGATATTAGCCGAGAAAGAAATCAGGGACTGAAATTAAAGAAATTGCAAGAAATCGGAAGTGGAGATCCAAGTAGAAGATCAAAGAAAAACGATATGCATGCAACGAGGGGAATGCCGAGAGTTTCGAAAACGGAACCCCTCTCCTCTACTTTTATGGTTGGGTAACACCGGAATCGAGGCAAAAAGCCGTCAACGGCACCAAAATCGAAGCGACAGAAGCACAGACATTGCATTGGGAAGACGCGCAATGATGACGCGCGTGTCATGACGTCATCCTACGATAGCCACACCAACCGCAGCCCCGCCGCCAGTTCGACTTCGGCCGATTCGATCCAATTGTCACGACCAAATTTCCTCTGAACGGCTGTAGACAGGATCCGCTCATCGAGGACGTCCAAGATCACGACCTCAACAAGCGGAGGGACTAACTGTATTTGTCAAAATTTGGATTAGACTTAATAGCTGCAAATGGACGTGGTCGAAGATTAAGCCGACCACGGCATGAGAGCGAGGAGTCGCCTTAAGAAAGATTAGGTCCGAGGCCGAGAAAAGGGTGTATGAAAATAACGGTAGGATAAGTTAGAATAGAAAGAAGGAATATTCCATTGAATATTCCTTCAGTTGTACTTTTTTAGCCTCAGGAATATCCCCTATAAATAGGAAGAGATAAAGAACAAAAATGGGACTTTTCACTTTTTGATAAGAGCACATTGTAAAGGGTTGACTATAAAGAACATACAAAAGTTTGTCTTGTTTGTTGATTACCTGGTACAATATACATTGTTCATTCACAAGATCCAAAGATTACTTATCCATCTCCCTTCTCTATTCCCCCACGTTGTTGTCAGGAAGGAGAATCATCCAAGTCACCTAACATTTGGGTTATATATTCGTTTTTATTACATTTATTGCCATTATCTACACTTGTTGCATACTGCTATTACTACATTCATTGAACATATATTTGATATTTATTATTCTTGAACACGGTCCCATATCACTGATATACCACAGTTTTAGATCTAAAATTTATTATGTTTAACTAGGATTCACCCTCTATTTCTTCATTAATTTGTTTAACAAAAAGCTTAACACTTTTTGGTCAAACAGTTGTGGCACTCATGACCAAGTTTCATAATAAGTTTACTTTAAACTAGGGTGTACAAAAAAGAACTGATAAACCATACTAAACCGATAATTCGAGTCAAATGGAAGAAAAAAAATCTTGATGGTGGTTTGGTTTGGTATTGAAGAAAAAAAAAACCCCACCATAATTGGGTTGTTTTGTTTTTATTTCTTACACTTTTTCACAGTTTTCTCTTTTAAAATATTATTTCAAGTTTGGACTTAACGTTCTTGAATGGTAAATAAATTTTATACTCCATAAATGTAGTAACTCAAAAAATACTAATGCTAACAAAAGAAATTCAATTAAATACTAGGAAGGATGATAGTGTTGGATATCTATTTTTTAATTTTACATTGGTTTACAATGAAAATGCATAACTTAGTTTATCTCTTTAATTCTTAGTTATATAACTAATAGTACTTATTAGCTATACTTATTTTAGCATGACCTATATAGTATTTTTAGATTATGTTAATTTTTATTATGGCTTATTACTTAGCAATATTTATTTTATGCAATTTTATTACCTTTGTTATTAAATATTTTAGTATAATCATATGACTTAGCTCATATGTATTGTGTTATTTTCTTGGAAAATACATTATATAGTTGTATCTTACTAGGACTTAAGAAATATTTAGAGCACAAGTCACATATTTTGTGCTATGAAGACTATCGGGAAATAATCCGAAAACCCAAAAAAAACTGAAAAACTCGAGAAAAATCGAGATTGAAAAACCCGACTTTATTGGTTTGGTTTGATTTATAGATCAAAAAACCCGACACCATTAATTTGCTTGATATAAAAATATTCGAACCAATCCGACATACGTAGGCCACTACTTTAAACCATGCGACATAACAGTACATCATAACTACAGTATAATCTTTTGGGACGCTTGGTGCGGCTCATGACATATTTCATCTCTATATATGGTAGTTCAAAAAATCATCAACATCTAACTATATAAGCTTGTTCTCGTACATCTATCCTATACAGTACTTTTAACAATTGCAAAGACAACATAGAAAGATTATGTCATTTCCTCATTTTAAAATTTAAATATGAAGATGTACTTTTGCAATCAAATTGATGTAGTGAATTATGCGATCAATGAAACAGAAAATGCATAATTTTCGCCTCCTTTCACTTCATATTTGGATTTGAAATGCCAACCTTTCCGGTTTTAGATATTTTGGTGTTATTGATATTTTCTTTATTTACTTTTGTATGAAATGAAATACAAAGGAGTGTGAACATTATTGGATTGCGAACTCAAGTTGTACAATCAAATTATACTCTTATCTCCTTCTCTATGTCCTATCTAAATCATCCAAATTCCAAAGAGAACATGACCACCTGTCCTCGTTCAACTTTTTAGGGTCTTGTACGAAATTAGTATAGCTCATATTTTGACTATAGAGCAAGCACTTCTATTCGGCTATGAATAATATTTAAGTATTTGTAAATACTAAAGTTCAATATTGACAAATACTAATTTAGTAACGGTATTTTACAAATACTGAATTTCATTACAACATTCCAATGCGATTCTTCAAATACAAAAATTTCAATATTTACAAATATTCATATTTTTTGTTTAAAAAGTATTTCAAGTAAAATAATAGTTTACTCACAAATTTTTAAAGTATTTTTAAGTGAAGTTTATGTCCAAACACCATTTTTTCTTTACATTTCGACTTAAAATAATCTTTATTTTTTTTTAATTTTAATCAAATATTGTACAAAACAATGAAGATTGTCCACAAGAATGAAGAAGAATTTTTTAATCTAATCGAAGATAGCGTGCTTTAAAGGAAAATTGAACTTATTATTAGAGAGAGATATATTACAACTTTAACTTGCAAAAGGTAAAGAAAAAACATTTGCAGTTGTGATCAGATGTGAACCTAGACCATATTGGCCAAGAAATAAACAAGACAAAGACAGTGGCGTTAAAGTCAATTAAGATAACGTACAATACTAGATTAGTCCCCCACCATACCAAACAAAAGAGCCATTATGACTCCCCATCAAACAAACAACTATAAAATGATCAAACAAACCATTGCTGCTTTAATTGACATTGCTGTCACACAAATTGCCCAAATTGAAAATTCCATATTTTGAAATCATACTTACCCTTCTCTTTTCACCACAGCTTGAAACATACACTTAGGTCCTGAGTCAATACCCGAACCACCACCTTTGCTTTGTGTTAAGAACCAAAATTATAACCTTAGGCTACTTGAACCGCTCTGGTCCATGCCGGCCCTTACCACCTAGCAACGGTCGGTTAAGCGCGGTTCGTTCTTGACTCAGCCTCCAATTCTGCTCGAGCTCTTGACTCAGCCCCCATCAACTAAACACAATAGCACCTCTTTTTTACTAGTTAAGTTATATATTATAAAACAAAAAAAATTAAAAAAGGAAAGGGCGGTATGCCCCAAGTCAGATCATCATCACGTGAAAAGCACGTGTGATCCTTCTTCCAATTAGCTTTCACAATGAAGGGCAGCTTTAATCTTCTGAACAGTGCATGATATAAGATTATTGACTGTCTCAACTGATTCCACTGTAAGCTTGGCTGTAGGGAGGCTATTCACCAATATCTGGAAAGCTACCGTCAAGAGCGACCCGCTAATTCTTTGATCTGGGCCCCCATTACATGATGGCCCATTGGACCCACAATTGGCAGTATTAGACCCACGAGATCCTGGGCCGTCGGGTACAATCGAGAATCCCGAAGGGAGCAAAGCCACGTACGCAGAATCACCACCGTTCATCACCACATGCATTGCCGGGATATCAACTGGCGCGTAAACAACCAGCGCTCCTGCCGCGTCTATGCACGTCTCTTGAAGTATCAACATGCTGCTCTGATTCGCGTTAATAGCCTGTCAAGTAAATAAACCCTCAGAATGAATGAATTTACGAAGAGTGCCATTCTGCGGTATAATACGTCAATTTCTGTTACAGTGTTTAATAAACTGAGTCAACTAGGGATTAGGACTTTTCATGTAAAAGGTGATATCATGTGATAGGGCTGACCAAAAAAAAGGTAACAAGTGTCATGTGTTTTGACTTTTTACGAATTTACAAAAGAAACAACAAAGTTAAAAACTACAGATCTGCAATCAAATGTCGTTTAGAGATACTTCCAAATTCCCTTATTTGTCCTTTTCAATTCACCTTTTTATATCTTAAGAAAATGAACCCCACCCATGCAAAATCAATCAATTTCTCTCAAATACAATCAATCATTCTACATGCATTCATCTACTAACGCCATGCATTATTATCCTCACACCCTATTTTTTTATCCATTCAAATTAAAATCTCTTGCATGATGGAGTATTAATTTATTTTCTTTAAAATGAAAAGGGTTAAAGAAATTACACTAGCACGGAGGAGGGAGACGCAGTTGCCATGATCTTGGCCTTTGGCAATATGAGCCATTTCTTGCATAGGACCACCATTGGATAGGATATCCCACTCACTCCGGAGACGTTCGTCGCGGAGGAAATCGAAGAGTCTTTGTGGGGAAACCGGCAACCAAACGGAAGTAGCAGCGCTTAAAACAATCCCCGGTGGCTCACCGGGGTCATCGACGCTCTTTCGGGTCATAACACGGACATCTTCATCCACATTACCAGCACAAAGTTTGTTCCACTTGTGTACCGTTGAAGCACAAACACCAGCACAAAAGTTGTTTGTCATGCGTTGTGCTAGCTTCAACATGCTCCTTCTTCCACTTGGAGTTATTGCTGCATGTGATTTTTTTTTTAGTCACAGAAAATGTAAGGGACTCATCACATGAAAGGGGTTGATTCATTGAACAATGAAGCTAATTAATAGATTTTTTGATTTTGAAGTAATGTATACCCGTGTGATCCCTTGAAGATACGGTGGAGGACATGAGAATTGCAAGGCATTCGCACTGACGTTGGAGTGTGGCCACCCATCTTTGTGCACCAAAGCCCATCCCGGCACTGATCAACGGCCGGTAAAGATGGTGAATCACGCTCTCATCATATTCGCCATGTTCTACCCATGTAACCTGCACAATTCAATTGACAGAGAATTTATATAGTCAATCTAAACTTGCTTAAAATAGAAACCTTCTAATTAGTCACAAGGAAAGAGAAAAACTCAACTATATTAACATCAATTTTAAATTGAGACATGTTAACCACTGAAGACTGATTGTCTCTGGAAAGTCCAAGTTTCTTTTATTAATTGCAAAATGGTAACATGAATCATATTCGTCTACTACCAAAATTGTAATGTATGGTGTAATTTATGGCATTATTATTTTTCCACCTTTAGCAAATAATTCCAATTCCGAGCAATGTAGCAGAAAATATCCCAACTTATTGGTGCTACTACAATTTTTTTAAACCATAACATGGTCTAAAACCCAAAAAATTATAATCTAAAAAAGTATGCCATGGGAAAAGCGAAATGGAAAATGAAGTTTTTGTGATGATACACGACAAATCTTGGAAATAGGCCTTGAAAGGTTGGGTTCAAGGAGAGACATTATAGAACCTAGAACCCTAAAAGTGGAAGGCATAAAATACAAGTTTTCACCAATTTTTTGCAAATTTGAAGGCACGAGGTAGGCTGTAGACATTGAGAAATGTACTACAAAGCTTTAGACCTTGTAGATACTCACGTGACAACAAAATAATAGTCAGTCTTGAAGTTTGACTAAAAGGTCCTTTACTAGTATAAAAAACAAACACATCATAAGGCTGGAACCAGATAATACACAGTTAGATGAATTAATTATAGACAAGGGGGACTGATCGAGACAGCATCAGAGATTGGAATAGAAACATCAAATACATTGTTTATTTAAACCAATGTTTGAGAATTACAAGGCATCTTTTTTTCTTTCTGAATCATATGAAATTAATGTGTCCCAAGGCGCAAAAATAGAAGTAATGGAGGCTTCTATTCAATTTATTAATCACCTTAACCTCGATTTCCACACGTACGGTGATCATACAATATTAATATTAAGCTCATCTTAAGCAGGAAGTTGCTGAAATTTAAAGACTTTAATATTCTTCTGTCCCCTACAATCAGCATCTTATCAGGTTCAAAAATCTGATCTCTTTGTTTTGGACCAAATCAATAACCAAGAGACTAGCTTAGTCATTTTTTTGACAGTGATTTTGGTAATACAAACTAGGTGGAAACTCCAATTCAATGTCTTGAACTAAGCTCCAAAAATGTGTAGTTAGCTCAACCAAACTCATTAAACACAAAAGAGCAAAGAATAGCTAGCCCATGGATGTGCACTCATTGAATACTATAGTAAATGACACACTAAATATTGTGTTCTATGAGAAGTCTTAGTGAACAAAGTTGTCTAATGCTTGTACCAGTGAAAAATAATAAGTCAGACTCTAAAACTATTGTTAAAGAATAGCCCGGTGCACTAAGCTGCAGCTATGTGCGGGGTACGGAGAACAGTCGGACCATAAGGGTCTATAGTAGACAACCTTAACGTAACCTGCTTTTCTGCAAGAGGTTGTTTCTACGATTTGAACCCGTGATGGTAATAACTTTACCAGTTACGCCAAGGCTCATCTTCACTGTAAAACTAAAGTTATTAAAAAATATATAGTTGAAAGAGAAGGAGAAATTACTTTGCTATAGCCATTGGGCATATCTTGAACTAGACAGCCAGAAGGAAGTATCCTACTGTTTGGAAATGTCGGTGCATTAGAAGTTTCTCGGATGGTATCAATAGACACATCAACGACAGCCCAAACTCCTTCAGCATGCTGCTTGCAGAAACGCAGGAAATTGACCTCTCTTATTGGTACTAATGGTGAAAGCACTTGCAGTTCAGCATGCATCTGCAAATTTAATCAGTCAATTAATGTGTTATATTTGCATTAATAGGATTTTACAATGGACTAAACATAACACTGAAATTCAAAAAGTGCATATTGAATTACCAGCTGAAGTGCACCATTTCTGGTACCCCCCATACCACTTGATATAACATCTGTTGTTGAGGTTCTAGCAATCAAGCATGGAAACATTTCTGCCCATTTATTCTGTCAAAATTAAATGTAACCCAACTTAATCATAAAAAACATGACATCAAATTATCATCACTGACAAGGCTATAGGATTTAGATACCTAAAAGAGCAAATCAAGAAAGCTAAAAGAAATTACTTACTGAGTCCATTAATGTCTCAACAAGAGCCAAACTATTGATTATAACCATGCCTGTCTCCCTGGAAGCCTCAGAAACAAAACTATTTGGTCTCATACCAATGCAAGGAGTAAATGACCTCATGTATTCCTCATGGTTTAGTATTTCTCTACCACCTTCTACACTCCTGAACCAAAGGGGTTCATCAGTTTGTGCCATTTTTACAAGTTCATCCATAGCAGCCAAAGCAAGTTCTAAATACATGGATCTCTCAAGTGATCTCTCAATTCCAGTTGTTTGTCTAGTTGAAGCCACCACTGGCAAAGAATTTGAAATCCCAACACCAAAATCAGGAGGAGCTAAGGGCAGTGTTGTTGGTACATTGCTCAAACCACCAAATCCATTGTTTCCAACTCCCAATTCTAAACTTGAATTAGGCATTGGTGGAGGCATTGAGTTAACTAAAGATGAAATGGGTCGCCCCAAAAATTTGCCAGCAAGTGCACAAACTCGATCTAATTCGTCTTTCAGCCTAGCATTCTCAATCCTAAGATGTTGTTCCTCTAGAGATATTTCACCAATCATTGCTGGACCACCACAGTTTGTACAAATTGGATTTCTCATTGCCTCTCTTATTGACATGTTTTCTGCTCGAAGCTTATCATTCTCTTGCCTTAGTATTGAATTCTCATGGCGTTCCAGTTGAGTCTGGTGCAATCAAGATTCATCATTATTGATAAAAGAAAAACCCCATAAAATATTGAATCTTTTAAAGCCATAAAAATTAAATCTTTTTTACCTTCATCTGAGTTCTACGATTTTGGAACCAAAACTTAACTTGTCTAGTCTCCAAAGAAAGCCTTTTGCTCAACTCCAACCTTTGTTTCTCATCAGGATGAGGACACTCTTTGAAGAGACTAAAAACCAAAAAAAAAAAGAAATAAATCTCATAAGAAAAAAGCTAAACCTCGAAAAAAAAAATCCTTTTTTCAGTTGAAAAGATGGTAATGATTACGATTCAAGTTCTTGGATTTGCTGAGGAGTGTGTCGGTGATATCTTTTCTTCCTTGGTGGTTTGTCGGCAGCATCTTGATCATCACCTGATGCACCTTCTAAGTTATCACTTCCAGATCTGCTGTCTGGTTCTTCCTCTCTACTTCTTCTACCATTACTGTTATTCCCCTCGTAGTTTTCTGCCATTCTTGTTACCTCACTTTGCCCTTCCATGCCTGTTTGCTGCCCCCACCAAATGAAAAAAAATTATAAAAAGGGGTTAAAAAAAGAAAGTGGTAACAGAAAAGATTAAAAAATTTATGCTTTTTTTAAGGCTTACAAGAGCAAGAGAAAGCCCAGGAGAGTTGAACATGGATTTGGCAAGAGATTGAGTAAGAAGACGTGGTTGAGAAATTGCACCAGCGGGCATGTTGTTGTTGTTGTTGTTGTTGTTGCTGCTGTTGTTGCTACTATTGCTATTGTTGTTATTAAATGGTATATCAGCAACAATTCTTGCAACGCCGCCACCACCACCACCAGAAGTATTATCAAGAAAATCCCCAAAATTCATGAAATAAACCAACACAGTCTCAAAGCACTTAGCTGTATTTATTTTGTATATATATAACAGATTCAGTGTATCTTTTAAGCTAAAAATGAGCTATGAACAGAGAATAAGGAGTAAGGAAAAGGAAAAGTGGGGAGAAAAATTATGAGAGGTAGAGGAGACACAAGGACGAATCCAAATGTCTCCAACTTCCTCTCTAATTTTTACTCTAAGAGAGAAGAAGAAGAAGGAAAGAAAGCAAAACACCCTTTACTTTTGCTTCCGTTTAGTACTTCTTGCCTTTCTCTTCTCTATACTTTCCTTAAATAACAGTACCGATTAAAATTCCTCTTCTCTCCCTACCCTAAAAATAAAACCCAAAAAAAAAGGAAAAAATGGGGACCTTTTTCTGTATCTCTAAAACCACTCTTAGCTGCAAATACAAAAGCAGAAGCTTAAAAGAATGGTTTAAGCAAGCAAAACCCTAGTTTTGAGGGTCTGTTTCTGTTTTGTTATATGTATCTCTGCATGCTTGACTTTTTTTACAAAACAAAAAAAGAAAAACTTTTTGGTTCATGACATAAAAAAGCAGAAAAGGAAGTGAGAGAGAAAAGGGGCTTAAAAAGGCTTTGTTTTTTCAGTGTTGCAAAGACAATAGAAGAGACGAGAGAGAGAAAAAAGGGGTAGAATAGTAGAAACTAATGGGAGAAAAAAAAAATCACAAAAAGGTGAAGATAATACGCAATATTGTGGACTCATCGAAGCCTTACATATACATACATCCAAAACAGCACAGAAAAAGGTTTGGTTGACTCTTTCACTCACTTCCACCCACCACCCCCCACCCCCTATCCCCCACCCCGTGAAGACTGTGAAATAATGTGTAGCTCTTTTTATCTTCTTTCTTTTGTTGATTTTTCTAAGCTCGACTTTTTACTGTAACAAAACAGAGATTTAGGCAAGAAAAAGATGAAAAGCCAGAGTGAAGACAGTTCATTCAGATCCCAAGAATTTCTTTTACATACACTTACACACACAAATTTTGTTCTTTTTCTTCTTTTTCTTTTTCTGTTTTTTTTTTTTTTTTTTGCCTTCTTTCCGCTTGGATATGTTGGGATCTGGAATTACATGAAGATTATGAGAATTAATTACAGCAAGATGACAAATTTAAAACAGGAAACAGGGGTTTATTAGTCAATGAGTTTGTCACTCTTCTCTCACTGGATTAAAATAAGCAATAAGTATTTGGAAAAGAATAAAAAAGAAGATTCTTTCTCCTTTCTACTAAGATTTTGTTCAACATTGACTCCCTACTCTTGTGTGTGTAAGCAAGGAATTGATATTAAGCTTAACCCATTGACCGACTTCCGAACTGTATTTGTTGACGGAATTCGGTGAGTTAAACGACCGGTGACTCGCCTCTGACGTTTATTACTCATCCGTTCAAGAAATAGTACGGGCTTTTTTAACTTTTAGCAGAAACTATTTATATAACAATGCTTACCTATAATTGACATTTTATTGGCCTTTAATTTAGTTTGGCATTAGCAGCCCAAAAAAAAAGAGGCATTAATTAGCATAATCCCCAACGGACACGCTTTTATAATGAGAAATTTTCACAAACTACTATTGTTTAGTTGTTATTGGCTAGCTGTAGCTATCATTTACTATATTACTTTCTATAGTTATGTTTTCAGTTTTGTTAGAGTGTATTCGATGTATTTAAGCTACTGTATTCATGAATAAAGTAGCAAAAATCGGCGAGAAACAGGGGAGTACAGCTAGGCAATTATTGTATTCGACTGTATTCGCGATATGTATTTGTGAATACATTAACGTAAATAGCGTAAATCGTGGTCTATTCAGCTGTTTTTAAACAGAAAGTGAATCAATTAATACAAATAGACTCCTAATATAACTCAACAAACTTAATTATAAATCTTAATACATAAATTATATTAATTCAAAAAAATATGAATACATTCATGGAATATAGCGAGACAGTGAATACAATGAAATATATGGAATACATCGAGATACATTGAAATACAATGAATAAAGTAACAGACTCGTCAAGTTGCTCAGCCCCAAAACTCCCTCGTCTTTGTTCAAAAATAACCCTAATATCGTATCGTCGATAGCAGATTTCGAACCTCCATTGTTAGCCCCAATTTACCTTATGTCAGATTTCGACATCGATACAAAACATAAGACATTGATTTCTAAACAACTCTTCAACCACTAAAAAGGAAAGAGAAGTTCAAAGATAGAGAAACTCAAAATATTAAATATTAGATAAAATAGAAAGGCGAAGGTTTTGCGTCAGAAGCTTCCTGCTGCCCAGCCGACTACGTCATCATCATCGGGCCTAATAGGTGGATCAGCATCAAAATCTGGTACAAATGGCGACTCCATCACCGCAGTTGCATCTGTCGGTACGGTGATTTGTGGCGTTGGTTGAGAGAGAGAGAAAAGGTGGAGAAAAATCTGAAAGAATGAGAGAGAAAAATAATACAAAGCGTATTTTATGGCTTAAGGGTAGGAGGTGACCATAAATAGATATTTGGCTATAAAAAACAAAAGGTAGCTATGAAATATAATTTTCTAAAAGGATGTTTATTTAAAATAAATAGGGTATCAACCTTGGCTACAGGAGGTAAAAATTCCTTTTATAATCCCTCAAATATAGGGAAGAATTTTAAGATTTTGTCCACCCTTTACGCTTGCACGATGTATCCTTTCAGAATTATAACTACCTAGTCGACCCAAAATAAAAACAAATGCAGAAATTATATTTCCTTCACAAATCAAAAAGGGTGCGAAGGTTTTTCAGCAATCATGGCAGTTGAATATCAATTTTCAGATTTCAAATTCAATAATTAGTGCTTTGTTCAAGAATAAATTTCTGTATTTTTAGCTGAAAGAAATCAGTAAAACAAAGTTTTCAATCTCTATATATAGAAGAACAGATTCAATGATAGCTTTGCCGATTTTGATATAGCACGATAGACGCTGGGATAGCAAGAATCGATTTGTGGATTACTTAGTTGAAGGCGTGGTGATTAGTACAAATATTAAATTTGGTGATTTTGTTTCTACAATTGCAAAACAATTGATGGTTGACACCACGATTAATTTGCTTGAAATCAAGTACAAATGCGATGATGATTCACCACCAATGTTGATACACAATGATATGGGATTGTGTGTATATATCGAGTTGAAGAAGAAAAATTATGCGTCTAATGTATGTTCACTGTGTTTAACAGTGAAAAAGAGAGATATGCACGCTTTTAATCGAAATGAGGAAATCCATCTGGTTGCCTACAAATTGCCGATATATGATATACATAAAGGTGATACACTACAGTTGATTGGGTTTGATACCGTAGATGATCCTAAAGTTGTAGATTTTGATGAAACTCCAATAATAGATGATCATCTAAATAGTTGTCACGACCCAAAACTAAACCTGGTCGTATGGCGCCAATCATGGGACTAGGCAAGCGGACACACTCCTAAACAGTTTGATATTTCATTTAAAGATAGATAAAAGCCTTTTTCATACCGAAATTTCATAAAAAGTTCAACTAGAAACAAAATGCGGAAATAAACAGCCCGACATCGGGGTGTCACTAAGTCATGAGCAACTACTACAACCGTTCTGAAATATTGCGAGACTAACATAGTCTGAGAGTAGCCAAAATACACAAAAGGGAAGATAAAGAAGGAGAAAAGCAAGACTGCGATCGCCAGGCAGCTATCTCGCTATCTCTGATGAAAGTCTGCAACTGAAATAATCAACAGCTGCTACCGTGGCCAGAGATACCTGGATATTGACACAATGTGCAGGGGAACGTGAGTACACCAACTCAGTAAGCAAATAGTCCAAACTATGGACTGATAGGTAGTGACGAACTAACCTCAACAGGTAAACAGAATATAACTGTGCAGTAAAGTAGGCAGGCTTTCAATTCAAGTATTCAGCTCAAGTAGTGAAGTAAATACAAATATGAACAATGAGAAGTATAAAGTTGAGCTAGAGCTAATCTCTACGTGCCAATGCACAGGTGCATGAACATGTACCATGTACCTCCACTCTCAAGTGCTCAATCACTCGATGCTGTATATGGCCATCCGGCCCAGGAAAGATCCATCCTGGAATATATACACATCACTGACAACAGTAACTCAGTACCGAGGAAGGCCATTCCAGCCCTATGGAGAAGATCCATCTCCAGGTATAAACGCTTCGGACAAGATCCATGTACAAGGAAGATCCATCTCTCAATAATATCAACTGCGCTCACTAGGGGTGTGTTACAGAATCCGGAGGGGCTCCACCAGCCCGGCGCTATCATAATCATCATCATAACCGTTGCGGCTAGCAGCCCGATCCCATAACGGTCACTCATAATCAGGCTCTCCGCCTCACTCAGTCATCACTCTCTAGTCTCACACACGGGGTCACAATGACATGAAACTAGCCCGGAATAATGATATGATTTGTCAAATAATAACCATTGAGACTGAGACATGATATGGTATGCATGAATAAGATTGAATACAGAATAACAATGAAACTAATGAGATGACAGCAAGAAAAGACCACTCTGGTCCCAACAGTATCAGCATAAAACCCTAATATGATATCTAGCATGTTTTACAACTCATTTACTTAATCACATGATAGAAACACGGATATCAGCAAGAAAGAGTCACTAAGCGGTGCCATGGAATGAACCAGGCCACGATTCTCACGGTGCATGCCTGCACGCCCGTCACTTGGCATGTGCGTCACCTCAATACTAATCACGTAACACATAGTTCGGGGTTTCGAACCCTCAGAACCAAGTTTAGAAGCATTACTTACCTCAATCAAGCCAAAACCCTACTCCGCGATGCCTTTGCCTCTCGAACCGGCCTCCAAAGGTCCCGATCTAGCCAAAAGCAATACAATGCAATCAGCACAAGCTAGAGGAATCAATCCCATAAGAAAATGCTAAGCTTTAGGTCAAAAGTCAAAAAGTCAACTCAAAAGTCGGGCCCCGAGCCTGATCGGGTCCAACCCTACACCGCTAGAGAGTGGCAAGAGCGGTCGATGTAGCTTTTACCCGAGAAGGTCGGGATCGAATCCATAGGAAGCTAGAATAAGTTTGGGACTAGGTTCCTATCTAAACAAGCAATGTGCGATGTAATTGTTTACACTTCCAAATATGCTTTGATTTCTTTACTATTCTAAATTTTATACTAATGATGCAGGAAATTAGACTAAGTATGATATCTTTTTGTAGAGTTTCCTTAATTGATGGAAAGGCACTAGGGAAGCGACTTTCCCCTAGGTGAATATTTAATGGGTTCTAATACCTAAGGCAAAATTATTATGTTTGGGTTCGTGATATAGCCAATGCACGAAACTACTCACTCAACCTCTCGGTAGTTTGAGTGACTTTGCCCTAATTGACTTTTTCAAGACCAATTGGGTGTCAAAATTGTGCAAGCAATGTAGGCTCAAGTCGGGTATTACTATCTCTAGGTTTAACCCTTTAATTGGGACTATCAATCTCTTGAATACGCCCCAATTCCTTGTTGGCCTGATTTTCCTAGACTCAAACTCTCTTTCTCAAGAAGAGCCTAAGTCAAAATGGCACAAATTAGTGTTTGCAACCACTAATTCAATATGGAAAACACAAATCAGGCCAAATACCAACCACCCATAAATAACTAAGCCCTAAAATAAGAGAC